AAGGAGGTAAAATCATCAGTTTACTATAGTATTTTATATTTTAACTCATTTTTGAGGCACTAAATATTGTTAGCCAACACTCTTAGTTAATCTGATATGATGAATGGAGAACCAAAAGTCAAATAATCCCAAATTGCTGGGTATTGAGAATAGACACACTGGCCAGGGAAACAAGAGATGAAACATGTATGAAAAAGGAGAAGAAGTCATTAAAAATGGATATAATCTTGAGGAAGGACATTTTAGAGGACAGCTATTAGAGAGAATATTTCATTGGTTTTTGAGTCAGTCTGAAGTTTAAAATCTTTGATTTCTAAGGATTAGATATTGTAATGTTAATTAATTCCTGTGTGTCTATGAGTGGCAACATCTATACTTCTTTCAAATATGACAAATTGTTACTAATAAAAATCATCTGGATAATTAACTATGCCAGTTCTTTAAGAAATAACACAACAAAGTCTCTGGTATAGTCTACTCATGTAATTAATTGTGCTATTATTTATGAGCTAATGAGAAATCTCTTCTCAGTACAGGATTAATTTTCACTCTCTTTCTCACTATTTTATTTTATTGATTTTTTGAGACAGGGTGTCTTTGTGTAACAGCCATGGCTCTCTGGAGCTACTGTGTAGACCATGGTGGCCTCGAACTCAAGAAGATCTGCCTGCCTCTGCCTCATGAGTGACAGGATTAAAGGTATGTGCCATCACTGATGGCAAAGATCAATTTTCTATGGCTGATCTTTTGTTGACTTCTCACATGCCAGTATAGGCCAAATACTTTTATTTCTTTATTCTCTAAATTTTTCCATACTATATATTTTAGTCATATAATTCCCTTCTCTCAACTCTTCCCAGATCCTCACTTCCTAACTTCATGTTCTTTCTCTCTTCCAAAAGAAAATAAAATAACCAACTCACAACAACAAAACCAAAAACAATAAGGCAAGTATACCCAAACAAAGCTCACACAAAAAACACAGAGTGCCTTTTGTTGGCTAGCTCCTCCTGGGAATAGGCTTGTCTTGGAGTGTGTTTGATATACACAGTGACATCTTCTCAGATAAAACTGATTTTCTCTTTCTCAGCAGGTATCAGTTGCATATAGAATTTTGGTTATGGGTGGAACATTGTGTCTACTTACCCTTTTTAGTACTTTGAATTTCTCTGATTTGAACCTGTACAGGTCTTGTCCATGCTGTCACAGTTTTTATGAGTTCATATGTGTATCAGTGCTGCTGTGTCTGCAATGCACTGTTTCCTTGCATTCACCCACCCCTCTTTCTCACAGATTTATGAGCCTTGAGAGGGAGGTGTGGTGAAGTCATGCTTTTTAAGATTGAATCAGGGAACCAACAGAGGAGAGCAAGAAAAGAGATACTATAATACAGGGAATCATTATAGGTATGAAGAGAAATCTGGCACTAGGGAAATGTCCAGAGATGTGCAAGGATGATCCCAACTAACAGTCTAAGTAATAGTGGAGAAGGTACCTTCAATGCTTTTCCCCAATAATGAGATTGATGACTACCCAATATACCATGCTAGAGCATTCATTCAGCAGCTGATGGAAGCAGAAGCAAACACTCACAGCTGTTGGGTCCTAGCCCCCAAAGGGTCTCTGAGTTGTTTGTCAGCTGATAGCCATATGTGCATTCTGTTTTCTAGTCCTGGATTACTGCCCTCGCATTGCCCCACTGACATCAACATCTAGCAGGAGGAAAACATGCTCTCTTCCACCTGGGGTTTTTCTACTGTGTTGAAAGACCATATATAAGACTGATCACTCCAACAAGAGAGAGGCCTCTTAGCACTTATGAAATAAAGTCACTTCTTAGTAAAAACAGCTGGACATCTTGTCTTTCTTTTCCTGATACCTCAGAGTTGCTTGTGGCGTGGGCACCGCACACAACTAAACACTGAACTGAATTCCTGGAATCCAGTTGCAGAGAGGAATGAGCAAAGGGGTCAAGACCAGGCTAGAGAAACCCACAGAAACTGCTGACCTGAACATCGACCCTAGACTGATAGCTGGGAAACCAGCATAGGACTGATCCAGTCCCCCGGAATGTGGATGTTAGTTTGGAGGTCTGGGCAATCTATGGGGCCTCTGGTAGTGAATCAATGTTTATCCCTTGCATACAAATGGACTTTAGGAGCCCATCCCACATAGAGGGATACTCGCTCAGCCTAGATACACAGGGGAGGGTCTATGCACTGCTCCAAATGATATGAGAGACTTTGATGATAGTCCATGGAAGTCCTCACCCTCCCTGGGGAGAAGAAAGGAGATGGGATAGGGAATGGGTGTTGCCAGGGAGGAGTGGAGGAAGAGGGAAGAGGGATTGACATGCAAAACAAGCTTGGTTCTAATTTAAATTTTAAAAAGTAAAAATAAAGACTGAGTAATCCAAAGTTATTCAATTTTCTGCACATTGATAAATTATGCATCTCCGTTCTAACATCTATCTACTGCAAGAGGAAGCTTTTCAGATGAGCTCCAGTTTTGTTTTTATTGGCTTTTGTTTTTAATGCCCTGTATGTGCCTGGCTCCCTCTACTGAGACAATTCAGTGATTACAGAAACTGTACTGAATTCTTGGGGGTAGAGACAGGGATGTCTCAAGATGACTATATTTACAGCTAAGTGTATTCTCATGGTTTTCATTAGATGCAGTGAGTGAAGGATTCACAGAGCATGTGCTATGAGATGAGTGTTTAATGTATGTAAGTACTTATGGAGTAGAGGAATAATGCGTTAAATGTCAAAGGTAAGGAAACATTTTCAGTAATAAAGTTTCTGAGAAGGAAGAACAAAAGCATGATAAGAAAGACAATAGAAGGCCAGTCTGGGAAATGTTTCTTCACAGGACACCAGACACAGCCAACTCTGCCTTTTGCCTTTGAGTTAACAATTTTCATAACATTTAACCCTCATCTACTGCCAAGTAGACAGTGTCTTTGATGGGACAGAGTTCCACCATAGCCTCTGCCTCCAGTCCTCACTTCCTCTCCCTATGTCTTCTCAGCTTCTTTTCATTTTCTGAAAAAAAATGAAATAGAAAACAATTACCCAGTTTCTACTAGAGTTCTGACTTTATCAGTTCTTTATTTAGGACTCAGGATGCCCTTGGGTGAGTAGAGGCTCTCATGTTTGCCTCTGGAATTACTCTTTTTCAAGTTCTACAAATATTTTCAAGATTTGCCACAATAACACCAAAACATGTTTTTCCAATAATGTATTTAAAATATATGTTCATTTAATCCTAGAAGAAAATTTGAAAATTACAATAATTTTTACATATTTAGGGAAACAGAGGCTCCAGAATACTGAATGATTAAAGGCTTAATGAAATGGTGGCAACTGGAGAAATATGACCTTCAAATCTCTGTGCTCCAAATACCACATACAACAATTATGCTTCCTTTTTTACTCTTGGATAATAATCAGCTTTTCTACAAAAATTAAATGGACTCAAAATGGTTTTTATGTGTGGTTATTTTTCAATCAGTGAAGTATAAATTTGTCATTCACTGACAGAGACAGAACTCAGCGAAATACTGAGATAAGTTTGTAGCTAATTCTGTCTGTCCTGTAAATCACTATCAGTAGTAGAGGTTTCTGGAAGTCAGGAAGCTGTGAAGCTACCGACTGTACTGTGTATATTCTTCTTACAGTTGTTTTACTTTCTTTATCTCTATATATTCACATACTGCATGTCCACACAAGTGAGGATCTCTTGACAAGAACTTGCTAGGGAAGTGAGAGAGATGTGGCCCCTAATTTTATAGAATATGTTATAATTTGTGAAGTGGGTTAGAGTTCCTTCAAAACCCCATGTTCTGCTTCCAAACATGTGACATTTATATTTCAAAATGTGCATGGTGTGATTAATATATTTCCCCCAAGGAATTGGCCATATGCCATGTGATATTAAAATATATTCTTCATGTTAACAGATAAAAATATAACTTTGTCAACATAATTATTGTTTCTAATTATCCATATTGCTTTCATCCAAATATTCTGATGACTTCATCTCTCAGCATGTCTTCTCATTCTTTCAAACTTTGCAATTGGTACTATTTCTGGAAATATTGTTATCATTAAACTCCCACGATATTTTCCTCAGTTATTTCCTGGAATCTAGTGAGGTCCTCTTTTCCCGTGTCACTGTCACTCTGCTGTTTCTTCCTTAATATTTTAGCCAGGTAAGGCAGTTGAGCCAGGCTTCCTTGCTCTGCAGACTATGTAGATTCTCTTCAAGGATCTTTTGCTCCACTTACAAGCTCTCTTGTTTAGCAGATGTCACATAGTGAAACTGCATCTTTCAGAATGCCTCAGAATCATGCTGTGGTGACTTTCAGTGCCTACATCATTCCAGCTCCCCCCCCCCGCCCCGCAAACACACAAACTGGCACTGCTATACATGTCAGATACCACCCACACTCCAGAATGTCGAAGTGAAAACAGTCACAGCCATTGTCCCTGGAGTGATAACTATCATATAAATATGAGGCAGGAATCTTGAAAGGACCTTGAAACTCATAAGAGACTTCCTGGGGAAGTGTGCCTGCTTCCCTGCAGTGCTGGCACAGTCTGTTCATCTGTCTTCCCACTACTCTGGCATCTTGAGGCTGCCTGACACCTCATTTCCTGCTGTGACCTCCTCATATGCCTAAGCACATGTGTACCAATCACCGATTGTTCAATTAAGGTTAGATATGCCAGCATCCCTGTTCTGTGTGTGTCCTATGAATTCTAACTAAGGCAACTTACATTAAAGGTATATGTGTTTCCCTATCACCTTACTTTCTATAGAATCAAACATTTTATTTAACATTATGTTGTTGTTTTGTGCCTCTTATGACAAAATAGTCACCTGTATTTTCTACTGAGCTCATGGCTTGAATTTTTCCAATTCAAACCTCACTATCTTGATAATTTCCTGGATGTTTATGTGAAACATAAACTTTGGTAGCAGTGTTTATCTATCACTCAAATGTCTTTTTGTTTAACAAAGGGTTTGATCACTCCTTCATGGATCTTCTTTGTCTTTAGTCCATACACAAGTGGATTCATGGTGGGAGGCAGCAACAGGTACAAGTTGGCTATAAAAATGTGGACATGATGAGGAATAGTGCTTCCACCAAAGCGATGAGAGAAGAAGTTGAAGAAGGCTGGGATATAATTGACAGCAATAGCACATATGTGTGATGTACAGTTACTGAAAGCTTTATGGCGAGCATCTGCAGAAGACAGCTTCACTACAGCATGGATAATCATGGCATAAGACATGCAGATACAGAACATATCAAAGCCCCCAATAAATACAGCAGCTATAAGACCATAGATAGCATTAATCTTAATATTGCCACAAGATAGTTTGGCCACATCCTTGTGGTCAAAATAGGTATGGTGGATGAGGTTTCCTCTACAGTAGGGAAGATGCTTAATCAGGAAAGTAAAGGGGATCAGGAGTAACACACTTCGAATGAGTGTCGCCAGTCCAACCTTGGTAATCACAGTGTTGGTGAGAATGCTGGAATAGCGCAACACGTTTTATATTAAAGGGAGAGAAGTTGGCATCAGGAAAGTGCCTGACAGTAAGTTGGATTACATGATCACAGGAAATCCTTATTCTCCCTGCAGAAATGCATTTTGATTGATAAAAAATCTTACCACTTTCTAAGGAGCATTCCACCACCTGTGAAAAGAACAGACATGTCTCTTTTACTATATACAAATAAACTTGTAAGTGCTATAATATTTAATTCTTGTCAAATCAGTATGTTGGAATCCCCATCTCCTAGTACCCAAACTGCACATAATTTTTAACTATTCCTCTGTATCTTGAAAGCAACTTACAAATCTGTCTACTTCAGGAATTCTACAAAGTGAGATAATTCTCTATATTCCCTGATCAACCATCTTGAATGAATCCCTGTCTAAAAGCAGTATTCTTGTGTATCTTATGCATTTACTTTATTTCTGGACCATACAAACTCATCACAGGGCCACAGGGCTTTAAATCCTCATTCAGGAATGCTAACACTAAGAAAGAACTATGTTATACTTCAATAATGAGCCCGTATGACAATTTTAAAATTTTCTCTGGAGACATTTCAGGTAATGGACAAAATATGATATGTTTGGGTAATCACAGGTAGAAATCCCATAGTTATCTGATGGAGAAGGAGTAAGTTTATCACTGAAAACAACATGTATATTTAGTACACATTTGAACAGGGTATGGGCAGCCCTCAAATTGTCCTAAGTGTTCCCTGATGAGTCATATGAAAGAAGACATGCTTTCTGGAACTTGATGATTTGTCAATATCTACTTCCTGTGGCTGCTCAAGTTCAGTTTCTTAATTTTAACACGTCATGTTTACATCTCAAAGTTAACTAAAATTATCAAGGAAACAGTTTCTGAACTTTCCATGCTAAATTAGATATAAAAATAGAATTCATTTGAATACATTTTCTATAATTGCATCAATATATATATATATATATATATATATATATATATGTGGGGGAACACTGCATAGTTAAAATGAACTGATTCTCCACCCTTACTCTTCCGAACTTGGGTACAAAGGTATCACTTTTTAAAACTTTCAATTTTATAGGTAGCCTTTAATCATATTTAAGGTACAATGAAAGTTTGAATTAAATGTTTTCAGAAGTGAACACTGTTCAGATCTGGAATAATGTAACTGCACAAACAATTTAGTATTGTCTTTTGGGTGAGTGGAAGTGCTTCATCTACACAAGGTGAATACAGTGAGCAGCAATCAAATGCAGTTGTGAGGCTTTCTTTTAGAAGAGCTACCAATGCCAGAATCTCAAAGAATATAGTATTTTGCTCCTGAACATATCACAGTAAGGGTTAGGGAAGAAATTCAGTTGATAGTACTTGCCTTGCATGCACAGAAGCTTTAATTTGAACCCCAGCACAACATTAACCAGAATTAGTAGTGCATGTCCATCACCTCAAAACACAGGATATAGAGATAGAAGTATCAGAAGTGCAAGGTCATTTCAACTGCACAATGATATCAAGGCCAACATATGATTCATGCAATATAAGTCATGGATATCACCCCATTGCGCATGCAATATCGCTTCATTATTAAACAGTGTTAATAAATGACAAACCAGGAGTAAATGCTCCACAGGAAACATGAATTTGTACAATGTTAGTAGTATTTGCTAACGTTATACATCAACAAATACTTATAGAAAAATCAGCTATGCTCCAGGTCCTATTAACTTCTTGAAATCCCAAGCAAGAAAAATCTGTATCACAACATCCTCATTTAGCTGGATAGTCTTCTTGTTTTGTGATGGGTAATGTTCTTCTGTGTATAGGTTTATCTTATGGGTTGATTGTAACTTTTAGTCTTCCTGCCCACCACCTGGTTCCTGTTCCTTCTTTCAGACCCCAAATAACATACAAGACACCATATTAATTATGAAGTTGTTGGTGTTTACTTGGTTTCTTATTGGCTGGATCTGACTTGATTATTAACCCAAATTACTAATATATATTTTTATAAGAACTTATATTTCCAAGGATGCACTCCTAAGTGCCAATTGCTCCTAGGAGATCACATGGCAGAGCTCTCCTCACTACAATTCCCAGAATGGATAAGAGTGTCATTCCAAACAATATATAGTAACTTTTGAATACAAATTTTACACTTTGCTTATGTACAGCAAATGGACAAAATAATTTAAAGGAAGCAGGTTTTTACAGCAAGCTATAAAACATCATCACATACATCACAAGCAATTCATGAGGAAGAATATCTGTACATAGTATGATTTATTCCAGAAAAGACTTTTATTTGCTACAATTAGTATGCCTTTATTTTGTTTAATCTGAACAGTCACAATGTAGAAGACAAAGGAGTTGCAGGTCCAGCATTCCCCAGTAAGCCAATACCATGTGAAAATACATAGATTAGAAGTTACAGGTTAATAATGAAGACAAGTTAGCCAATTAGAAACCCAAGACACCAGCCAACAGCTTCACAAATAATATAGTGTCTGTGTGCTTCTTTAGGTCAGAGAAGGGTGGACAAAGCAGCCAGGACAGGATGACATTAGAGTTTTGCTCAAATGGAAAATGATATGAATAAAGTATAACAGTTTATTAATTGGGTAAGCACTATGTGTATTTTTAAAGTTAATATGTAGTACTGAAGAGCTGTGAACAATTAAAGGAATATTTGTGACTTACAGTATGTTTGCATGGACACACACTAGCATACTTGACAAAGATTCACAATGTCAGGTATTAGTAATGATGGGAAGGAGCTGGAACACTCAATCACAATTACTGGAGATTTAAATGGTAAAAATCACACATTATGATACTGAGACTTGAAACAGCAGCCTAGTTTATTGACTCTGTACTAGAAAAATCATTTTGAAGACCATGTGATAAAATGTTTGAAAATACACAGAGAGCTCTACTATATAAGCATCCATTCTGTATCTTTTTAAATGAATAAACCAAATGTGTATTGTATACAAAGGATTGGCTTTGAATGTTCACTGTTGGCTAATGTCTACCAGTGCTAAATGGGATATAAATAAATATACATGAATACTAGTAACTCTAAAATTGTAGCCCATCATACAATGGTAAACAAAAAACAACTAGCCACAAAAGTCCCAAACCCAGCCAAGAAACTATTGTCCATTGAAAACTGGTAGTGGAGGGAAACTCTGTTTTCATCATGGATAGGGTCCTGAGAGGCTACATTAATGCTACAGTAGGTAGGGCTTTCTCAGAACTTGGCCCTATACCCATGCACATACTAACAATGTCCAGTGGGTTTTTTTTAAAAGAACACTGAATCACATCTTCCTATTGCCTATAATGAGATTTATGACTACCTTAAATGTCATCAAAAGCAGAGAATCACAGATAAGCATTGAGCTGAACTCTGGGAATCCAGTTGTAGAGAGGGAGTGATGAGCAAAGGGGTCAAAACTATGCTAGGGAAACCCACAGAAACAACTGACCAGAGCAAGTGGGAGTTCATGGACCCCAACCTGACAGAAGAGGAACCAGTATATGACCAACCCAGACCTCTTGAATATGGGAAATCCATAGGGCCTCTGGCAGTGGAACCAGTATTTGTCCTTAGTGCATGAATGAAGTTTGGGAGCTCCTTCTGTATGAAGGTATACTCTCTCAGCCTAGGTATATGGGGGAAGGCATAGGCACAGCCCCAAGTGACATGACAGATTTGGTGATCCCTCATGGAAGACCTCACCCTCCCTGAGGAGTGGAGAGGCCATGAGATGGGAGAATTGGTAGGGGGTCATCCTAGGATGGGAGGGAGAGGGAACTGGAATTGATATGTAAAATAAAATTGTTTCTAGCTTCATTAAAAATTTATATTAAAAAAGAGCGCATGTAAATGGAAGGAATAATGGTGGGGATTTGCAGGGGAGGGAATAGAGGATGAATCTGATCATTTATATTTCTAATTAATGTTTGACAATGTTTATCAATGAGCTTAGTTTTGATCATATTCATTCTGCCTCCACCAATTCTTCCCAGATTCAACCACCACTTTCCATCTAACCTAGCTGTCATGTTTTGCTATCAAGGCCAGTTTGTACTGCCTAAATTTTCTTGGGTAGGTGGATTTCCCCTACAGTAGTTGATTGTATGCTATTAGAGAAAATGAACCCTTATTCCCTCATATCTAAGAATTGCCAGTAGATGCTCAGCTACAGGTAGAGCTTTATACTTAACTCCCCTTTCTATGCTGAGATTTGGGATAGGTTAGGCTTGCACAGGTCTCATGCATGCTGTCATACCTGCTTTAAGTGTATATGAGCAGCTACACTGCAGTGTCCAGAGGCACTGTAATCTAGTAGTAATATACTGCCTCTGGTGCTAATATATTCCTTATGTACTCACTTTCAGTAATGAAGCCTGAGTCGTTGGAGAAAGGAGATGAACATTCGGCAGTCCTTTATTCTTTAAATTTTGGCCAGTTGTGGATCTGTGTGTGTATTGTCATCTACTACAAAGAAAACCTTCTCTGATATGGATTGAAATGTGCCTTAATCTATGGGAAAATAGTAAATAATTAGGAGTTTGTCTATTATTATGTCTGTGTAGCAGAATAATAATAATAGGTTATTGCCTAGTGTTGTAGTTTAAATGTAATAGGCCCCATAATCTCATATAGAGTTGCCCAATTAGGGTGCATCACTTCCCTGGAGTGGGCACGTTGAAGTGTGTCATTTTGGGGGCACACTTGCTGGTTTCCTATGTTTAGAATAGTGTTAACTCTAATGAAGATTTATAATGAAAATGAGCAAGGCAAACAAATTACAAAATGTAAATTATGAGTAGAAAGGATTACAAGGGAGTATAATGGAACTAAGTCTTGTGTTCAACGAGATAAATGGATAAGAATGGAATAAAGGAAGTGCTGGCCTCAGGGTAAGGTCCCTCATAGGTAAGTTTCCAACAAGTTAAAAGTATTTGAAGAAAACTTTACAGGCAGGTGAGGTGCTGCATGCCTTAATCCTAGTGCTGGGAAAGCAAAGTTTTATGGATCTCTGAGTCTGAGGCCAGTCTCTTATACAGAACAAGTACCAGAACAACTAATCTTAGTAACAGTCAGAATGCTGGTAAAGATGTAATTGAACAAGGGGGGGCACATTCCAGTCCCAACAAGAACCAGAAATTGGCAGCTTTAGAGTTAAGAACACAAGAAGCATGTTATGGAATTTGTCTCTGTGCCTAAAAACAGCCACTGAGGTTAGGCCTGTTTCTGAGGTGTCCCTGAATGGTGGCCTAATATAGAGGCCATTGTACATGGTTGTGAATGTGAAGCCTGGATTTCC